TTGATCTTTAAGGTCCCCTCCAACCCAAACCTTTCCATGATTGTATGATATAGAACCTTAGGTGTGCAGTGTATCCAGCTCACCTGACACAGCTGAGTTGCTCTGGCACAAGAGTGGCCTGAAAAGCATCCTGAAGTCATGCACTGACTTCAGTGACCATAAAGTGTTTACACCCATAGAATCACAGAACCACCAAGGTTGGAAGAAACCTTCAGGACCATCCAGTGCCACCCTCACCCAGCACCACCACAATCACCCCTAATCCATGGCCCCAAGGGCCACATCCAGGCACCTCTGGGACACTCCCAGAGAAGTGCAGGATGTGAGGGATCCCTGTGCACCTGCCAGGGCAGGTTCTCTGACAACTGCCCACGTGGAAGTGACCCTGGGTTGCTGCCCTTCCACAGCAACACAAAGCAGCTGCTCAGCTTTCTGTGAACCTCTGTACGAAAAGCTCCCCAGGAGGAGTCCCAGGATGTCCCAGGGCATCCTCAGGTTTTTGCCTGCAAAGGAAAACAAAAGCAGATTTAAGTCCAGTAACTCTTCTGAATGTGAGCAGACAAAAAGCCCTGTGGTCTTGCACTGCAGACACGACTTAAAATCATGTAACAGAATCACAGAATATCCTGAGCTGGAAGGACCCACAAGGATCATCCAGTCCAAGCCCTGGCCCTGCCCAGGACACCCCAACAATCCCCCCTGTCCCTCAGAGCATTGTCCAAACCCTCCTGGAGCTCTGGCAGCCTTGGAGCCGTGCCCACTGCCCTGGGGAGCCTGGGCAGTGCCCACCACCCTCTGGGGGAAGAACCTTGTCCTGAGATCCACCCTGAGCCTGCCCTGTCCCAGCTCCAGCCCTTCCCTGGCTCCTGTCCCTGCTCACACCAAGCAGGGATTGGGGCCTGACTCACTCCTCTCTCTGCTCTGACTCCACAAACGTGCTGACAACTTCAGTGGAAGCCTGCAAACAATTAACCAGACTTTTACCTTCTTCCTCGAGAAAAGAGATGAAAACCACATTTGGGAGACAGGATAGAACAGAATGGATTGTATCCTGCACATCTCCCAAGTATGCAAATTACTCATTGGAGCCAAAAAGGCAGTCACGAGCCCAGCAGAACCTGAGATTACAGAAAGGAAGATAACAAGACAGGGGCCAACTGGTTGCTGTGTTGCTCCAGCTTCTTCCAAGTTCTCTTGGGCTGTAAAAATGGAAAAGGACAACATTTTGTTCAGAGATTAGAGGAGAGTCATAAAGTGAGAATACTCCACAGTGCAGTAGGGAGACAAACCCATCGCTCCCGGGGAAGTCAAAACCAGAATATCAGATTAGTTACACCAGATTAATTACATGTCAGTAGTTCTCAGCATCTACACTTATTCGTAGTAAAAATACCAAATGTGGAGTTAAAATCAGTGTCACTACACAGGTAAAATTTCCAAGTTATACTCAAGCACGTGGCCGAATCCTGGTTTGATTTGTGATCTAAAAAGGCCATTTTTCAACAGCTGCTGAGTATTTCAGTTTAGTTCAGTATGTACTTCTTGGTAAAAAATATATCCATGGAAACGGAAAAGAATAACTTGAAAGGTTATTGTTTCTAAGAGGGTGGTGTGTTGATCAAGAAGAAATTGGAAACAGATTTCTGTTTAAATTCTGGTGTTAATTATGTGGTGCAACTCCCTCTGAAATTAATGGAGTTCTGCATATTAAAAAAAAAGGGGGACAATTGAGCTGTTTCTGCTTCCTCTGTTATACATGAAGGCTTTGCCAGTCTACTACAGCACAGGGAATATTTAATTATTAGAGACTACAGTTACATCACCAACCACTACAGGGGAACTCCAAAACCTTTAGGATGTTGAATAAAATTCTTAGAAAAACAGCAAATCCCTTTTACAAAAGGCACTTAAGTGTCCAGGGCTTTCAGTGAAGGTAACACAAAATTGAGTTTAGGTTTAACTTGAGAAATTTACTCAGGGCCTTGTTTTTCCTTTAACATAAAACTTCCAAATATGCCTTGGAGGAGCAGTTTAAATGACAGTGTTGTAACCTTCATTTATAATGTTATATAATAATATATATATAAATAACAATATATATATATATATATAATATATTATATATAATTATATATAATATTGTATATATAATTATATATACATTATATATATGATTATATATAATTATATATTTTATATATAATATTAATATATATATATTGTTACATGATAGTATCTCAAAAGCAGAATTACAGCATTACTCAAGGGGCATTTAGCTTGCTTTCCTATAGATGTTTTTAATACTTGATATTAGTTTTTCAAAGAGAAAGAGCAAAGTCTTTAATGTGACACAACCCAGATATCACATATACCACAAAGAGGTATCACAAATTAGACACTGACACGTCACCTTCTCATATCTACCTAGGTATTACATATACCACAATATATCATGAATTAGATGTTCTCCTCACAAGGATGTGTCCAATACACTCCCACAGTGACAGGAAGAATAAATTCTGTTTTACTCCAACCATGGGATCATTGATATGTAATAATATCGCCCAGCCTTTGGTAAATCCTTTGATAAATCCCTGTAAGGAGCTTCCTTAAGGTCAACATTTTTTGACAGGTCACATTTCCAAGTATTTCTCTGGTTTAATTTCCCAGATTTAACTACATTAATATTGTCAATGATGCAATTATTCAGTCAAGTAAATAAATGGGCATTTCACATATAAAAGCTTTTCAGGATGGTTCAACTCTTCTGAAGAGGTTGGGTGGATTTGTTTTTTTTTAACTTTCCAGGTCTGTCTTAAAGAGATTTATCCAAAGCCACTGAGGCGAATGGGAATGTCTCTAATGTCTTCACTGGGACCTGGATCTGGCCCAAACCAAATGGGTATTAAAGTTCAGGCATAAAGTGTTGAGTCTGACTCTTACAGGGGTTGTGGTCAGTAACTAATGTGTTTTCTCTTCCCTGCAAGTCCCCATATCCAACAGGAGATACAGCCAGGATGCTCTCCCCGACAGCTTCACGAGCTGCACCGCGCCCATGGCAGGCAGCAGGTACAAAGAAGAGATTTATGATTCCACCATCATGAAACACAACAAAATAGAACCCAGGATCCAGCCACCTCCCCACCTCATTAAAGAGGAGAACAAGCTGGCCTTCAACAGAGACCTCCAAGAAAAAATGAGCATTAACGAAAGTCCTTTTTCAAACTCCATTGCCAGCTCCCTGCTGCCAAAATCGGAATGTTTCCAGTCCAAAGCTATAGGACAGCTAAGCCACCTCCTGCCAATGCCCTCGGTGTACGAGCAGACAAGAAGGATTTGTGTGAAAGAACCCAAGTACGGGCACATTGGTCACCACCCTGCAAACCTGGAGGAACTGGACGGCGAGGAGAGAATGACTGTAAAGCTCGACCACGACTCCGAGAGCGAGCGCGTGATGGATGTGAGACCCTCGGGACAAGTCCCGTTCGTGCTCCTCAACTACCACCACGTTCTGGCCAAGCACGGAGCGTTCCAAACCTCGTCCTGCACGGCCACGGGCCACGCGGGGGAAAGCTATGGATACAATTCCGAGGAGGTAAATACGTTTCTTTACAAAAACCAAAGCCCCTCCTCGGCTTCCTCTCCAGAAACCCACAAGGAATCTGCACTACCCCACTATATCGGAACTTCTGTAATAATTGCCAACGGGAGGTGACGGTAACAGAGGAGTATTTACCTTTAATTAAGAAGCCAAACTGTAATGATTCACCAAAAAAAAAAAAAGCATGAGAAAACACGGTTACATTTACTGAGAGCAGCTGAGGGTCGGGGAGGGACAGGCTCGTGTGACAGTGGTCAGGAAAAACCCCCTCCATCCAGCTTCCCGCGCTTTGTTGTCCCAGACTGAGCTCTGGTGCCAGTGGGAAGACACCTTACAGATCTTATTTTTGTTATTTTATAGTGTGCAACAAAAAGAAATGATAGGTGTTATATGCAGAACAGAGATTTATATGAAGAACATTTTTTTTTTTCCTTAACCCCCTCCTTCTCAAAATACATTCAAGATTATTTTTTTTTTTTATCATTAACTATACACTCTAGTTTAGGGGTTTTTTTGGACAAATTGTGTGAAAACTTTACATCAGCTTTCCACCCCACACCCTGACAAATGAGCTTTGTTGAGAGATTGGTGATTTTTAGTGGCCACAATACAGCTGTACTAACCAAACAGAATTCATGTTTGGGGAAAAAAAAAAAAAAAGCTTATTTATTAATTACCCAAAACGTTTTAAACTAAATAAATCAAACCTAAATTTGATTTATTTAACGTAGATTTCAGTGTTCTGAGATTGTTACCAGCACCATTCATCTTGACAAGGGACAATACAACAAATTAATACGTATTACAGGGTTACAGGTCTTGTCATGGCAAATTGGGACAAATTACGTAGTAGGAACTAACAACTATTCCCCATAAAGTGTTGTAATAAGAAAAAGAAACTTCTCAATCATGTGTTTCATTGGGAATTCTGGGAGAACTGTGCAGATTTTAACCCCAGCTACTCAAAAATGCATCTGAATAACAGCACCAGAAATGTTTTCTTTATAGTCAAGAGAATAAAGAACGTTTATGCTTTATTTCAAACTTGCCAGAATTGTGAACTTTGAAAGGTTCAGCTTTCAACACACTGAACTTCCTCAAGGATAAATCTTGTTGTCAGCACAAAGGTAGGACTGGGGTCTGACTGACTCGTGCACTTCACAAATCCCAAATTGCACAAACGCTCCCATTTTGTCCAGCCAGTTAGGAAGAGATTTTCACCCCCTTTATTTTTACTTCTTTGTGAAGTTTACAAACGAGGAGACACGTGGGTCTGTGTGTGTTTAATTGACAACAGTCAGTCCACTGTGGTTTTGAACCACTTCCCAAACTTCCTCAATTCTTTTCTTGACAAAACAACGAACGACTCCCTAAACAAGAGCCATAAAAAGCAACAACAAATGTTGCTGTAGATCCGAGTCAGCTCTGCTTTTTAGCCCAATTCAAGGCTAATTCAGACTTTTCAAAGTCTCTCTCTTATCCCTCTAAAAGACCTTCACTGAAGGAAACAATCTGGTCTAGTGGAAGGTGGTCCTGCCCATGGCAGGGGGTTGGAACTGGGTGATCTTTAAGGTCCCTTCCAGCCCAAACCATTCTGTGATTCTATTGTTGCACATAAAGGATGGAGAACATGTAATTTTTTAAAGTGTTTATTCCCTTATGTTTTTATCTGACAAGGTGCAATCCATGAGCAAGAGTTTTTTCCATATTGCACCAGCCATGTAAATACTTTCTCAAAGGATCTCAGAATGGTTTGGGTTGGAAGGGACCTTAAAGATCACCCAGTTCCAACCCCCCGCCACAGACAGTGAACCTTCCACCAGAACACAACAATAAAGTCACTTCCTTCTAGGTATGAATATTTATTGCTACGAGTACACAAAAAATACTTTTAAATCATAGGTTTGAAAACAATTTTTAGTATTTGCATTGCTTAAAAATTAAAAGGTTAACAGAGAAGGCTTTGTTATAAAGTGATGTTTGCTTGGGAGCTCTCACTTGTCTGATGTTTTCAGTGGCATGAAAATTATATTTCATGCTAAATATAACAAAAAATACCTAATCAGTGATTTCCAGAACAGTGACTTAAAAAAAAACACAACCAAAAGCAGAACCAAACCAGTATAAATCAGTGTAACTGTGCTCCTTGGTTTGCTTAATGCTGGAGAAGTTGCAACTCTCCAGAAAAGCTGTAAAAATGTAAATTATTATCACTCTGACTTTATAAATCAAAGGGATGAGACACAAGCTGGTTTTACAGTGGCTGTGGTTAAGAGCCTTCCCAGCCAGTGGTGCTGACAAATGACCCCAACTCCTTAAAAGATGCAATTATGCAGATGTTAATTTTGTTAAATTAAACCCATGCCCTGGAAAGGAGGAACTGGCATTGTTTGCATCATTAAAAGGAAACCTGATGCACAACTCTCACACTGCACTTGGTACCTCATTAATGGCATTGCTGCACCCAAAATCTGCTGCGTTTTTGCTGTTCTTCCGAGTCCTTCTCGCTATAAAAACACGGTTTTGGGAACGTACAAATTAGGCTTTGGTTAAAAGATATTTCTCAGCAAAACACCACAAAATATTTCTCCAGCCTCTACCCTGTTATTCACACTTCCAGGCTTTATTCAGGGAGCCTGAGCAGAGGAGGTGTTCCATCATTCTCCCCCAGATGTTTTATGGGACGCGACACTCGGGCACCGGAACTTTCCCCTATTAGGCAAAAATGAACCAATTACACATTCACAGATGATAATACAGGGGAAGGTTTTTAGGAAAGACCTGTGATTACAAAAGCAAACGTGTGGAATGTTTTTTTCCTGCCATTCCAAACCCAGAAAACAGCGTTTTTGTGTTCACAGCTGGGACGGGAGTCAATTATATCGGGAGAAAAATACGACTTTTAATCAGTTAAACTACAGATGTTCTCAGCACACTCGAGGTGCAGAACAGGGCACAGCCACCACAGTGGCAGTGGTTTTAATAATGGGAAAAAATTATGACACTGAAGTGGAGTGTGAATTGGAATATATTATGAAAAACAACCTCATTTCTCCTTTTGAGCCACTGCAGACACCTTTGTCGTGAGGCTTCACAGGATTTTAACCCTTGGGGGGGTTGAGATCTGGCAGGAAAATGATATGGAGAGTGAGACAGGAAATATTCCATCGAAATCAAAGAATCACAGAACGGTTTGGGTTGGAAGGGACTTTAAAGATCATCCACTTCCAAACCCCATGGACAGGGAACCTTCCACCAGACCAGTGTAAAGTCGGCAAAGTCAATCCCACGTGAAGTTTTTACCCTCTTAATTGAAAGAGTGCAATGTAAATAAGGTGATAAGGGAACAGACTCATCTCCAGGTCTCTGCAGGCCCGTGATTTGAAAAAGGGCATAAAAGTAATTTAAGGGAATTAAGCACAGTGGCTGTAAAATTGGAGAATATATCACTGAAAGTGCAAACGAAGGGGAAATCTGCCAGAATTTCTCTAAAAAAATCTCAAAACAGGACACAAATGGTTTTCTCAACACTTCAGTCACGCTTCAAAAACAACACAGAGAAAATGTTATTATTCCGTTTTTTTTTTTTTTTTTTATATGATGCAGGTAAAAAGCTATTTGGCAAGTGTAGGTGAAGAAGCACGCAAACCAAACAACCTATTAATGCTCAGAATTATATATGTATTCCCTAAAAAAATGTAAAGCATTTTTGCTTATTTATTATGTAAAACAAAACCGTTAAAATGTTAATAAAAATCCTGTAGCCAAAGGAAAATCGAGCTGGAGTCCTCTTTTTCTTTTTAGCCACAAAACACAGGGTTTCACAAACAATGGTGCATATTTGAAAATTTATTCCCATCGTGGTTTATATTTGACAATTAAAGTACTATAAAATAAAAGGATTTTTTTTTTATTCAAATTTATTGTATTTTAGCCACGTTGTGTTTCAAAGGAAGACACTTGGGGGACTGCAAATAACACAGAATCACTAATGAGCTACTCAAGCACGACATCAGTTTGCAATTCTTCCCTGCAGTTCTCTTTTCTCCATCATTTTTTGACCTCTGGTCCTTCCTCAGCCCAGATTTAATTTCTTTGGTGTCTGATCAGGGCAGTGCATCACTGCTGCCACTTACACATGCAAATGCTTTTATTAAACCAGTCGCCCCCAGGAATCAGCTCTTTGCAGCACAATGACAGACACTTTTTTATACATATAAAGCTCCTGTATGTTCCAAAGGAGTTGCACAGAGTAATTTTTTAAACTGCTGATGCAGCTGAATCAGGAAAAAGCAAAGAAATAAATTTTTGCACAATGAAGCAGCAGCATAAAGGATTAAACGCTTTAATATTATTTCCAGGTAATAGCCCCTTGATTTGTTGGATATATTTAAAAAATAAAAAAGCTCTGAAGTCTTATAAACCTTTTACTAGAAGCGAGATGTGCTGCTTGAGCTCTTAAACGTTAAGCACATTATTACTTTTTCAAATCTTTGGAAGCAGCTTTGTTGCTGACTGGGCACAACCTGCTCGCCTCCCTCTGAACACACACACGTGCCAACACGCCCAGCAGAAGTTTTCCTATCAATAAACAACCTCCACAAATGTTTTCACAATGAGAAACGTTATAACAGAGTCCAGGAGGGGAAGAAAAAAAAAAAAAATGAAGTCGCAGAAATATGGACGTCGTAATAAATGGGGTTTTTTTGAAAGCACTTCATCAAGAAAATAGTTTAAGATATGACATCAGCCCCACAATGGAAGAGGTGTTTTACTAATCCAGACAGTTGAACGAAATGAAACATTTTCAGTGCATTACTCCTGGGTCTGGAGTTGTCTGATACTCTCCATACCGATGTCCAGAGACACTCTGCACCACATTTGTCTGAGAACAAGAATAACAACCATTTTCCTACAAAAATGTTGTGGCTTTCTGGGCGTGCCAAGTTTGGCACAGGAGGAGTCAGACTCCTGGCTGGGCTTCCCATCTACCTGACAGAGGCTCCTGGGCTTCTCCACAGGAGCAGCTGCTCCTCACAAGGACCTTACTCCAGGAATTCTCCCTGTCTTTGGTTCTTCTGAAGGGGAAGCAACCAAACCCTTCATCCAAAGTCCAGGCAGTTTCCTCAAGAACCACAGGTAAGTTTTGGACATCAGAAGAGGCCACTAAAAAGGCCAAGTGATATTCCCAGAGCACCCAACCTGTGCTCTGGCACACCCAGACTCAAAGATCTTGCTTGTGGAAAGGAAGTTCAATGCTAAGTGTCTTCCTAATGCAAAATTTTTTGGAATAACCTTAAAAATCAAAGTGAGAATAGAACCAGCTCACCATTAAGGCAGCCAGAAAGGAATCCAAAAAGGAACAACAGCAACCAGGAAATGCTGCAGCATTTTGCTCTTAAAAAATCCCTCAGCCACTGAAGGTTTGCAAGTCCATTCTTCCCTCCACACAGGAACATGTTTTATCCTTTTCCTCTGTCATTCTTTGTCCCTTGTGAAGGGAGAAAGAGTTTTAAGGAAGCCATGCAAGCATGACCTGGTTGTTAAATCTCTACAGGCACTTCTCAGTCTCCCTGGAATACGAGCAAAATCCAAGGTGCTTCCCACAGGCACATCCCGCAGTGCCAAAGCCAAAGCAGAGACAGTGTTTTAGCTACAAATATCGGATTAAGGTAAAGTTTTGTAAACCTGTGTTTGGAAAACCAGAACCAGAGCTCTGCTTTCCCCAGCTGACATTGCTCACAAGCTGCCTGAAGGAAAAAGCAGACAATGAGTGAAGATGCACAGGATGTGAGTGTGCATGTGCACACACACACACTTTTTATGTATGTGCATATATGTATATATAAGTTTCTTCTTTTTTATTTAAACTGTATTAAGTCAGACTCGAATTTCACATGATTACAACATGCATCAATATTTAATTCTGAAATAAAGGTAGCTGCCAGAAAATTCTCAGCCCAAAGCCGTTTTGAAAGCCTCTGGTGGGAAAAAGCAAAATCTGGTGTTGGTGTGTATCATTTTAATTATGCCAATTAACAGCTGTCTACACTCCACTGGACAGTCCCATCTAATACTGGTGTGCAGCCTCACATGATCTGGATCATGGGGGAAAACAAACCAGCAGGGACACGAGACAAATCTACTGTGATGTGGAGCATAAAGTCCTAAATGTAACAGGGACAACTTAATTTCTTGCACTTGCTGCAATATGTGAGGATTGGTCAAAACTACCATTACAGACCAGTTTCCTGATTTTAAGACTTCTTGGCTTTGTAACTGAAACAATCTCCTAACATGTTCAGGTTGTTTATGAGGTGAACTTTAACCCCAAACCCCCGTTTCTGGCGTGTAGGCCGTAATTTCCTTTGTGGAAACCAATTTGGCTGATCCACCTCCAGCAGGGACGAGGGAATGGAACAAGCAGTGCTGCCTACTTGAGGAAATGAGACTTGAGGAAACATCACACCTAGGACAAACTTATTTTGCACAGAGTTGTCTGAAGAGCTGTGGTGGCCAAGTCTTGGTGTGAAGGCCCGGGAGAAAAACCCGCCGAGCCGCCGCCGTCGCACGGAAACTCCCACAGGGATGCTCCAGGATGCTTCCCAGTCATGAGCAAGGTGTTGCAACCCATCTGGAACTGGGCAGGCAGCCCCCAAAACGAGCTACTTTCAGGTCAGCTCCTGCTTTTAATGGTTAGCAGCAAACCCAGACGCTCTGCTTTGGGAAAGGGGGTGACCACGGAAGCTGTGGAAGAGAATTCGGACACGGGTGGATGGTGTGTTTTCTCTTTCTCACTGGAGTAGTTCCTTACAGCAGAGAATCTCTCATTTCTTCACTTAATTTCACTGAGATCACAATATAACTACTATCAAATTTTAAGCTAATCAGAGGTTCCCTCTCCTGACTGGGATTCCACAACAACCTTGGGGAGACACTACTCCAGTGGGCTTTTCTTACAGGGGCTAAATCCTCTTGGAAAACTATGATTCAAAGGACACATGAGATGATTTACTTGGATCCAATTGCCTAAGAAGAGCAGAGTGCTAGGAATTTGGATAACCAACCACAGTTCTAAAGTGCTGATGGAATACTCTCCAAAAAACTCAAGGCAGCCACTAGAGTTGTAGACCTGAGACCAAAGCACAGGTTGGTAAATTGTTGCACAGGTCCACATGGAGAAGAACCAAATCAGGAAGGATCTCCACTTAGACCTGAAGTTAAGCACAGTGGTAATCCCAGTAAGTCAGAAATGTATGACGTTCCAGGTGTTTTTAGTGCAGACAACACATAAACCAGAATGCAGTTTAAAAAAAACAGAGTAAAAAAAAAAAGTAAATATTGTCCTGCACTTTGCTAAAGTACAATAAAAACAGAGAGAGACAAAAAGGAACTGTTCAGCCACTTCAGTTTCTCCAATACAGTGTGTAAGTGAAGAGAAAGTTCTGTTCATTGCAAGGGGTTCCTTTGCAACCAGACTCCTCACAAAGAATAGACACTTACAAAGAACGGCAACGTCGGTGTGTTTTAAAGTTAATACAAAAGAATAAAGGTCTTCAGCTATGAGATCACCACCTCTTTTTGAACTGTTGAAGTTATCCACTTCAAAAACCAAAGACAGCAGAAAATCAGAAGGGAAAAAAAAATCAAGCTGCCAACTCCCCTTCCCACCTCTGAGCGAGTTTAGCTGACGGTGCCAAACCCTAAAGAGTCTCCCCTGGTGCTGTGAGTTAATGCTTTGGTACTATGAGGTTTCTCAGCATGTCAAAGGAGTTGCCATCTGGGTGCACAGAATCGATCCCTTTGCCTTCTTGGTGGACTTGCAGGTATCCATAGTCGTCTATCCCGACGATCCAGGCGGTCGGCCCGTCCTCGCTGTGCAGACGGACCTGCTTCCCGCTGGGAACAGGGAGAACCAGGCTGTCAGTGAGGAATGGTGGGCACTGCACAACTCAAAACACCTCAGAGGACTAATCACAGAATGAATCACAGAATGGACTGGAATCTTAGAGATCATCCCGTTCCAAACCCCTGCCACGGGCAGGGACACCTTCCACCACACCAGGTTGCTCAGAGCTCCATCCAGCCTGGCCTTGGACACTTCCAGGGATCCAGGGGCAGCCACAGCTTCTCTGGGCAACCTGTGCCAGGGCCTCACCACCCTCACAGGGAAGGCTTCACCCTCCAGCAGATTATTTTTATTTCCCACTTCACTGGTTCTTTACAGAAAGTGATTTTCAGCAGCATTTTCTATCTGTTTTAATTTCCCTTTGTGGAATGAACAGAGTTGGAGTTAATCCAAACAGTCTATTTTTTTTTTATAGAAGCACAGCAGCTTCATCAATCTCAAAACAAATAATTTTCAACTCCCTTTGTTTGGAGATGATACAAGTAAAATACCTGGGAGCATTCTTGAACTCATGCTAGTATGTTGATTTTTGGGGTGCTACTTTTATTCTCCCTTAAAAATGTACATCCTGATTGGGAGTACATTTTAATTAATTTACTTGTATTAAAGGAAATTTAGTAGAAAAAGTATAAAAAGACAAAATATCCAGCAGTTCTTCTACCAACTTGCTTAAAAGAAAGTCTGAGAAGAACATTATTCTTACCTGTGTACCCAGTACTTGTAGTAACGGGGAAGAATTCCATTGGGCCCCTTCTCCTGAAAAATATCTATGAGCCTCTCCAGCACAGTGACAGTCCTTGCAATGAGACAGTCTGCAGTTAAAGGCTTCAGCTTTGTCCCCTCTTCCTTATTAAATTTCGTGATGAGATCATTGATGCATATGGTGGGGTTGCTGTTATTCACATTAAATCCAAAGCCTGAAGAAGACAAACGAGAAGGATCAAAGGGATGAACACTCTGTTGCCACCAGAGTCACTACTTTATTCAGCTACTCAATAATATTATCCCTAGGGATGTTTCCAGTAGCTGGGGTTTTTTTCAGTCTCTTACACCTTTTAAGTCTTCTTACTCTTGTAGTTACGATTCTCAGTTCAGATTTTACTTGTTCCTTGCCCTCAAAATGCTCTTTAGAATTACAGAAGCGAATCCAGCACAGTCTTTCAACACCACACCATCCTATCAATGAGGGGTGGGAAGATGGTAACTGGCACCTTGGTTACAGCAACATCAAAGTGAGAAATTCTTTCATGTCATCAGCCAACTCACAGTGAACCCCCGATCATACTCTGAGATGGAGTTTCATCTTTCAGTCTAAAACGTAATTCAGAGACCTCTGTGTTTACTACAGTTGGCTGATTGCATTTTCTGGAAACCAAACCTTTTTCACTCAGCTGATAAGCCTTGTTTGGCTTGCTCTGGGAAGCCCAGAAGATTTAACTTTAACTTTGTAAGACTCCAGTTTGCTTAATCTATCCCACCACAGCATATCCTTTAGAAGCCTCAAGTGTCTCGCTGAGATTTCTCCAGCTGGAATAATGTTGGCAGAAAGCCTTTCTTGTTTAAATATGGCTCTTGGGGCCTTTTCTGCTGCCTGCTGGAACAGGTTTCGAGGGATGTAGAGAAATATATTGTATTACCTGTTTATTTTTTTCTCCTAATAATTTGGGTTTTTTTCTCTCCTCAGACATTTGGGATAAAACCCATTGTCTGTCAATCAGTTTTAGACACGATGCTCCTCCATCTGCAAGAAGGTGCAGATGGCCTTGTTTTGTAAATTTGCTATAAATGAGACCATTCATACATGGAAGTAATTTGTGTTAACTGTGAGGAGAAGGATCTCTTCAGTGAAAAGGAGTTTTTGATTTTTAACTAGTTCAGAGAATGCACACAAACAGGGCCCAGTGATACCAGTACCAACACACTGATCCCGTGGAAATGAGCTGAAATGTGTTATTGGAAAGAGATGAAGGAAAATGAACTGGAAAATACTTTGTGCCATGGCAGCAAATCCCAACTCAGCTGTTTCCACTCAACTACAGCACGAGGGAAGAGAGTGCCCGTGGTCCTTAAGCTGTGATTGGTGTTGTGAGGGGGCATCACGGGGTTTTGGGGTCCATCAGCAGGTCAGGCTTCAACCACTGCTCAGCAACTCAAAAACTGAGACACAAGAGACACCTTGAGGTGACAAGCTCAGCTGAGGCACAAGCACCTGGGGATAAACATGGTGGCAAAACACAGCCAGCTAATTTGAGGCATATGAGCTGCTCGGGGCCCTTAGGGGCATCTCTGCAGTGTCCAAGCGAGAAGAGGGAAAAATAACCATTCAGCACCGACCAGCAGTGTGCTGATGTGGCTGATATATCTTCCAGTGCTCGAGCCATCAGCATCTGTGCACTGTTTGGACATGCCTTAGTTGAGGCAGAGGCAGACAGAGGAGTGTCTGCAGGTCACGCACGTTGGCCGTCCCTTGCATTCCACTTGTGCTTGGCTGCCTGCGCCTGCTCCCGGTCTGGCCCTCGCACTCATGGAGTATATTCTTCTGCACAGCTCTCCTCCTGAAAAGTCCTGCCACCCTTGAAGTTCTTAATTTTTAAATTTCCAATCAAAAAAAAAAAATGATTTGGTTTGTTTGGTTTTTTTTTTGAACCAGGTTTAAAAGTACGAACGCGAAGCGCGTCCTCTGCGAGGCCTTGAGCGCCCGTACAGCTGCAAAGGCAGGTTTGTCTCTGGCCTTGTTCTTCTGAGGTAATTCTCAGACAAGGGAAGATTTGAAGAGCTCTGATTTTTATCGTGGTCCTCACATGTGGGATATTCTTCATGAATGCCATGGAAAGAGTGAGTTCAACGACTCCCTCAGCGAGTCTCTGTGCTGGGTGACAAGGTGGGGATCGGGCACAAGGTTGGACTTGATAGTCTTGGAGATCTTTTCCAACCTCAATGATTCAGTGATTCTGTCTAGGTAAGGAATCTGCATGACTGTAGGAAAGGGATGCTGCATCTGGTTTACCTTTCCTGTTGTGGAAGTTGGATCTACCACCACTACTAACATAAGAACTTAGATGCCATGAATCTCCTCAACTGCTCTCAATGACACATCACTGAAAAAAAAGCTCCTTGGATTCATATGTAGCAACTAAGTTTTAATTTTAGAAGCTTCTAGGTGAAAGTAAACTGATGAACAGGTACATCTTTTGTCTATACCCCCCCAAGATAACTCCTATGGATATGAGAGAGAACAGATGCAGAAGGCTTTAATTTGAATTTAATGGTTTGGTGTTTAGGGTAAGAAATAAAAGGTCCAAACCAAATATTTGCATAAGAGATATTCGACATAATGAAATATTTTTTGATCCATTTCTGCTTTTCCTCTGTTAACCAGAACAAGCTCTAGAAAAACATGGAAGCAATAAATGATTAATGGGGCACAGAGAGACTTCTTAAGTGTCTTGGTGTAACTTTCATTCTGTTCATGTGGATTATTTACAAAATGAGGATATAATTGAATAGAAAATGTAATGCCTGGGTATGTTTCACAGGAGGTGATCACTTCAACTGTTTTGCTTGTTTGCACCTCTAAAATTACAGCAGCTTGACAAAAACCACAGATATCATGACCACACTCTCCTTCCAAGACATTTTCCTTATGTTACATTCAAATACAACCCAAATGTTACCATCTTCTTTAACCTTTTAGACTTGCTAAGGAATTTTTCCGACATAGAAGAGACAATTATTTTTGGAACCAGAACCTGGAGCTCTGCTGGCAGGTTTCTAAGCATGTCTGACAGATCTGTGATGCTGCTGGTGAGGGGAAAAACTTCCTTAGCAAACAGCAGGATGATTATCAGACTTGAGATGATAAAAACACCTCAATGGTTAAAAAGATGAAAAACATTACTATGTGTACGTAGCTCGCTCTCTCCTGATTTAAAAGGCATGTTCTTTATTTAGCTATCTGTCATGTTATAAAAAAAAGCAAATAGAAAAAAAAAGGATACAGTTTTTAGCATATTCTACTAGTTTTGCAATAAATCAAGGACAATTTCCCTCTGTCCTGTAATGCTCTTTCTTTGAACTCTGCTACATCAGCCCAAATGCTTGTATTTATGTTTTCCTTGTCAAGCATATGGAATTATTAAGAAGAATGAAAACATTTACTTTTTCTGCTTCCTTTTGATTTAATATTGTGCTTTATTTCCTAATGCCTGCTGTCATTATTTGTTCTCCTCGTTACCATGTGAACTTATACAGACATTATGACAGATTTCTTCAGAAAAAAAGCATTATAGAAAAGCTTGAAAAGCTTGAAAATAGACATTTACCAATCAGTATATGAAATGTTGTTTCAATAAGTGTTGAGTTTACCAGAACTCCACCAAGCTTCATAAGGTCACTGTAGTAAATATCATTTGGCCATTTTACTCGCAGCTCAATATCCTGAAAAAACAAACCCACATAATTAGAAATGTTTTGCTCTTCAATACTCATTATAAGAACACGGCTCATTCATCATTCCATGGTTTATATGGAATCACAGAATGTTTGGGTTGGAAGGGAACTTAAAGATCATTCAGACTCACACCCTGCCATGCGCAGGGACACCTTCCACCAGCCCAGGTTGCTCCAAGCCCTGTCCAACCTGGCCTTGGACACTTCCAGGGATCCAGGGGCAGCCACAGTTTCTCTGGGCAACCTTGGCCAGGGTCTCACCACCTTCACAGCCAAAAATTCCTTCCCAATATCCCATCTAACCTTACTCTCTGGCAGTTTGAAGCCATTCCCCTTGTCCTGTCACTCCAGCCCTTGGAAACAGTCTCTGTTGGCTCTTTCAGGCCCTGCAAGGCCACAATCAGGTCACCCCAAAGCTTCTCCTCTCCAGGCTGAACAATCCCAGCTCTCCCAGCCTTTGCTCCCAGCAGAGCTGCTCCAGCCCTGGGATCCTCTTGGTTCCTGCTCTGGCCTCTCTCCAGCAGCTCCATGTCCTTGCTGGGCTGTTCCCCAGGGCTGGAGCAGCTCTGCAGGGGGGTCTCACCTGAGGGGGCAGAAGGGCAGAATTTTCTCTACCTCTTTGCCACACCAAATGTGATACTGTGAACTGCTCTTCATAATGAGAATCTATTTAAGTGCTCCACAAATGTTACTGAAAACATCACAGTAACATGGTGACAAATGAGGATGGCACTGTCAGGGAAAAATTTTACTAAAAAAATAAATAAAAAAAAATATATATAAGATAAAAAAACACTTAGAGTGACCAAAAGGGGGACTAAAGATACTAGAGGCTGTCAGTCTCAAAATGGTGAGGTTTTATAGAATAATTTCCTTCATTCATGAGAGCTTATTAAAGATTCAAAAGATTTACTCAAGACAGATGCAAACTGAGGCTCGGTGCTGATAAACAACCAGGGGAAGCCCCAAATAACATCCCCACTCTCCTCGAGGACCCTTCCAGACTCCAAAGAGACAATGACATCCTGAATTTCCGAAAGGAAATTTAGCAGACAGGAGAAATTCCAGTTCACAACCGGATAAATAACTCCACTAATGTCCTAAATATATTCAGGCTTTCGGCAGCGACGCTCGAGCTGGAAACACAAACTGTGCTGTGTGACACCGTTCCAGCCAAATAGAGAAGGTTTTGTTGAAACCACAGAAACTGAGTTGAACTTTGCACTGGCTACTTAAACACAGAAAGAAAGCAAATGTGCTTCCTGCAGCTTGAAAAACTGCACATGACTGTGTCCCCAGGGGCAAATTATGAGAGGTGCTCCAGGACTACAAGAGTCGCGTTCCCTCCTATTGTAGATTACGAAATCCCTTTACAGGATGTGTGAAAACTGCACCTGGGTCCATGTCTACTTTCCTGACAGATTTAAAGGCCAGAGAGGAGTCCATTACACGTTCATTGACAGGAAATACTACCTGATTTTGCTATCAAAGCAGTCTCAGGTTCGCTATGGAAAACGACTTGACTCCCCGCGCTGGGAAAAGGTTTATAGAAGACTCCCGAGACACGTGAAGTATGACACAGTTAAATGGTATTATCAGTGATAAAAGGTCTTCTGTAGAGCTACCCAGTAGATCTGACTCGAGGAAAACATAACACCTGTAAGACACCAGGCAGTAGCTCTGTGACTGAAGTGACAACAAGCAGGAAGAAGAGCCGAGTCAGCCGGGTGTTCTCGGGGTGTCCATCACACAGCAGAGGCTTCGCCCCAGAATGTATTCCCAAGGTACCACACGATGGTAAAGAAATGATGGATGTCACAAAATATGCTGGAAACGGAGCATGTTCTTATCTTCACTCACTAGAGAGATGTCTGCTGTCCTCAGAATGGGAAAGCAAAGCTTTCTCTTGATGTGAGGCCCATTTGGATCTGCAGCATCAACATCCCACAGTGAAACTTCCAACCACAGAGCTGTCAGATTTGCTCTGTGAGGGCACAGAACAAAGGCCTCAGGTGCTGCTTCTTTAGCAGAGTCAATAATCCTGGCGATCCTAAAAATGATGCCTGGTTGATAAACTGAGATGTGGTAACTCGGGTTTTTGAATGGAAATCCTCAAATGGACTTTGAGGAGAGTGAAGGACATTAAAGTGTGTTAATGTGTTATTAAGATTCTGACATACTCCAGCAGAGGGATGGAAATTTGGAGGAGAGAATGAAGCCTCTGGGGTCCTCAGCAGAGCAAGGACATGGAGCTGTTGGAGAGAGCCCAGAGGAGGCACCAGGATGATCAGAGGGATTAGGCAGCTCTGCTGGGAGGAAAGGCTGGGAGAGCTGGGATTGTTCAGCCTGGAGAAGGGAAGGCTTTGGGGTGACCTGATTGTGGCCTTCCAGGACCTGAAGGAGCTCCAGGAAAGATGGAGAGAGACTATTTCCAAAGGCCTGGAGTGACAGGATGAGGGAGAATGGCTTCACACTGACAGAGAGTAGGGTTAGATGGGATACTGGGAAGGAATTCTTGGCTGTGAGGGTGGGGAGGGCCTGACCCAGGTTGCCCAGAGAAGCTGTGGCTGCCCCTGGATCCCTGGAAGTGTCTGGCTGGTTGGAGCTCTGAGCAACCTGGGCTAGTGGAAGGTGTCCCTGCCCATGGCAGGGGATGGAACTGGATGATCTTTAATGCCCCTTCCAACCCAAACCCAAACTCTATGATTCCACAGCTCGTTTTTTGCAGCGACTGCAGTTGGCACGACATGGGCAGAAAGAAAAGCCCTGCCCAACCTACACCAAAGAGGAAATTTAAGCATTGAGATTCTGATAAATTTTTGAATTTCCTTGCATTAATTTGAGTCCTGTCCCCTAACATTAGTTTCACCCATTGCTGATGTCCTCTCAAGTTCAGTACTTCCCTCCTGGTCACAGCTCTTGCTGTGCCCATATTGTAGGTACAGTACATGCATTACTGCCACATACTATTTTTACATCCATATTTAGTACTTCAGTCACCCTTCTCCTCTTGAATGGAACAAAGCTAAAAATGCCACAGCACACCAGGGTAGGCACACAGAAGGAAAACCACCTCCATTCATAAATTAGCTCCTTCCCCAGCCAGCCTCATGCTTTATAAAACTAACTCTTGTCCCCCCTATTTTAAATGGTTAAAGTGTTCACTCTAAGCAAATATTTTATATTGCAAATTTTAGCCTGAAGCATTTTGTTTTTATGGTCAGGTTATGAAGCACTGAAGTTAGAAGGTTTTAATAGAAAGGCTGACAGACCCTAAACTACAGCAAAGCTACTGGGTGCCACTATAATAAAGTTCATGTGTAAATGTGTATAAGTCATTGATTTTCTGTAATATAGGAAACATATGCTTTAGTTAACTACTTCTGTAAAATACCAAAGTTTTATAGTTAGCAAATATTAGGAAATGGTAACATTAAAAAGGAGATATATGAGGTGATGAAGAAGACTGGTTCTTCATTTTAATACTGATGACAGGACACTTGATTCCCTCTCGAGAGCAATACTCCTAAGTTCTTGCCTTAGAAATCAGTTTTCAACCTTAAACAAGGGTTGGAAAAATCCTTTAAAAGGGATAAAGTGACCACTGAAACAGCACAAACAAAAAAAGGCGGCAAAGGATTTGTCAGTTTTATTCATTTTTCCCTCCTCCTTCTTCCCCAACCCCTTCAAAATCAAACCAAATTAACTCGAAATTGTTGGGCAAACAAAATGGATTTTTTTCTTTACTGCTGAGGACTGAGGCTTAAGTTTCATAAGATTATGAGTGCAATGAGTGGAGTGCACTTAATCAGCTCAGCAAAAGACATATGTACACTAGATTTCTGAAAACATACAAATAATCAAATGTTATCAAGGTTAAGTTTGTCACTATCTTAGTGCTGAAGAACTATACTCTGCATTCAATCTATTCTACACATAGAAGACACAGTTAAAACCTGAATTCAGTGGAAAGAGGAATTTTGAGATAAATTAGAATGACATACCTCATATCCTGGTATTGATCTAACTGACTCCACCACTGCCAGAGACACCAGGTGCTGAATAAAAGGAATTCTCTGGCCTAGGTTGGAATGCAGGGGAATGGTGATATGCAGAGTGGACAGAGCACAGCCCATGGGACTGAGCCAAACATTCCCACCACGACCTGGGGAGGGAGACAGAAAAAGGGAACTTCAACTCAAGAAAAAGAGTATTTTAAAAAAAACCATCACTTTGTGAATGTAGGGAAGGATTCAACAGTATCCATCCAAGAATCTCCCATAAGTCCTGCAATGAGTTTACAAACTAATTTTGAAAGAAGAAGGGTTAAAGTGCAAAGCTTTTTCTTCAAAAAAACCCAGCAGTTTGTTTAATGTTCTCATCCCTGGAAGTGTCCAAGGCCAGGTTGGATGGAGCAAGATGATCTCTAAGGTCTGTTCCAACCCAGGCCATGCCAGGATTCTCTCCTATAATTCTAATGTACAAGTTGCTGCTCCATTTCCCAGTATGTCCTAAATGACTTGCTCCCAGGGTTTCCCTGGTCTCTGGTGCCACTCACATTTAATAAAATCTTGCCTTGTTGAAGTGAAGAAGCATTTGTGAAGCTGCTCTGAGTGCCCCTAGAAACCCACCCACACTGGGAATGAACTCCACATGAGCCAGACCTGCCCTGAGAGCCAGGTGAGCATCTTGACACAGATCTGTGCTCAGAAAAGCTTATCAGGCCAGAAACTGTGCTCTTCTGATAAAATAAACGTGGCTTTTAAAGAAATGCTAGAAGCTTTCTGGGCAAGAAACAGGACTTGCTCACATTTATCTGCAAAAGACTGTTCAGGTAGGTCCTGCAGACTCAAGAAACCTCTCAGAACAAGTCAAGACCAAGTTTTGTTCCAGTTAAGTCAGAAAGGAGTTCTGCTGTGGAACTCTGACTTGGATTACACTAAATGTACTGATGGCAGTTTCCATGACTGGGGAGACATTTTGGCAGCAACTAGGAGACCACTAAATCATCTCTGCAGAAGCCACCAAGCATCCTGAAAATGTTTATTTTGGTCTCTGTGTACTTAGGTTTTGAGTTTGAATCCTCAGTTCAAGCAGGAGGAGAAGAAGACACGATTATCCTGTAGATTACATTATCAAAAATAATCTTTGAGGTAGCTAGATGACATTAAGATGCCCTATTTCATCTATTTAATATACATTTTTTAGCACTAGAAGGGAACTTACCTTTCCCTTGTGTTTGTCGAACAGCAACTGCTATTAAACCCATCTCCTCAGGCACGTCCAACATTAACCTGCCAATTAGGGAAAAAAAAAACACACTCATGTGCTTATCAGCTGCAACACTAAGCTACATTCATGAAAATCTTGGGCTTAAATATCAGGTAATATTTTATGTTAACGTTGCACCACCATTTATCCGCTTTCGGGTAACATCTACTCTCGACCAAAACCCATTAGAATATTAAAAATTGATTAACTGAAAAATGATAATGTAAAGCATTGCTGCATCCATCACACTTCAGAGCCATAGTTCATTTAAGGTGCCTTCTGATAACACACGTTTTGTATTTCTTCACTTTTTCCTGGAGTGTTCATTTTTTTTTTTTTTTTTTTGCTGTCGTATCTTCAGGAAGTGACAACCAGCAATTCCAGACATTTGTTTCTACTTACAGCAAATTTTTGTTCATACTACAAAATATAAGAGCAGCAGTTTCTGATTATTTAGAAAACCAATATGGTGGCAATAAAGCAGTTTAAAAGATACACTATCCCCTGAGAACTAATTATGATTTAACTACAGTAAATAAATCTACACCTTCTGAGAACTCTAGAGAACACTGGCTTATTTTAGGCTTGTGTTCTGCTTTTAAAATAGTTTCACTTAAAAGAATACTAACTTTCCTCTGGGGATAAGTAGAAAGTGCACTTTAACACCACCAAATGAGTCAATGCTAGACTTGAAAAAAAAAAAGAAAAAAAGAAAAAACCCTACTGTGAGAACTTCATTCAAGCCACTTTAAACCAGATCTGAACTGTACCCACGATCCTCCTCCATTTCACATTTTCAGGAAGGGTTATTTAACAGATAAAACATATTCAACATACTCCCTCTTAATTTCTGAGAGGTGTTTTAGGGTCTGGAATCAAGCAAGGACCTGCTGTGAGCAGAAGTGTCCCCCCACTGCCCACAGACATGTCTTTGTGCAGGTGACAAGCTGAGGAACCATCCATCCCTCCCGCTCCACACGTTCTAAAACGGGGCATCAGTAACTCGTGGAGGTGCCAAAACACAAGAAACCCCAAGGTTTCAGAATATCTTTCAAAGGACTGACTTGCCTGCACGATGATCAAAGGGGTTATTGGAGGGCCCAAGCAAAGCCTGGGCCACAAATGCCTCTGCTAATTACAAATCACAGAATCGTGGGGTGGTTTGGGTTGGAAGGGACCTTAAAGATCAGCTCGTTGCCACCCCCTGCCCTGGGCAGGGACACACAAACCAACAGAAGCTGTGACAGGCTCCACAATGTTGTGTCTCTATAACTTCTGGCCTCTGAACCATCACTGGAGTGGCTCAAATGACTCAAGAAGAGAAATTCAAACAACGCTGGAGTTTAGCTTGACAAGGCCAAGTACAGGTAAAACACAAGGCTCAGACAGCAGTGGCACATCTATTCCTTCAGTAAATCCACCACAGGGAGATGATTCCCCTGCACACAAAATTCCCACCAGTAGTGACAGAATCACAGAATCATCAAGGCTGAAAGAGCCCTTCAGGGTCACCCAGTCCCACCCTGACCCAGCACCACCACAATCATCCCTAATCCATGTCCCCAAGGGCCACATCCAGGCACTTCCAGACACAGGGACTCCACCACCTCCCTGGGACACTTATTCCAAGGCCTGACCACTCCTGCAAGGAAAAATTGTTTCTAATCTCTGATCTGAACCTGCCCTGGTGCAGTTTGAGGCCATTTCCTCTCCTCCTTTCCCTTGGGACATGGCAGCAGAGCCCGACCCCCCTCCCTGCCCCCTCCTGTCAGGGAGTTGGGGAGAGCAATGAGGTCCCCCCTGAGCCTCCTCTTCTCCAGATAAACCCCCCCAGCTCCCTCAGCTGCTCCTCACAGGACATGTTCTCCAGACCCTTCCCCAGCTCCGTTTCTTTTCCCTGGACACGCTCCAGCCCCTCACGGAGAAAATCCCCCAAAGCTCACGAGGCTTCATCCCTGTCTTCTGGGAACAGCCTGATTTCAGTCACAACACCAAGTTCATGGTTTTGCAACATGAAAATCTGATTTAAATTTGGAAGCACAGTTAGGAAGAGATTACAGGCTTTGTTGAAACACACTGATGTCTGTTACTTCTCCATTCACATATCTGTCTTTAAATAGGAGGGAAAAAAAAGGAAAAAGCCATGTGCTGCCATGATGGGAGGAAAACAAACAGAGCAGGAAAAAAGTTAATTAGGAATCCAAAAACACAGGCTCTGCACCAAAGAGATATGATTAACAGAACACATGAATGCAGCTATTAAAGGCTTGGCAGCAGGTAACAACATATTAAATGGAGAGACTGAGGTTGTACTTTCAAGGGTCATGAAGAAATTCTTTAAAGGACACAACATGGGGAAGTTGTTAATACTCAGACTGATACAGCAAGAGACAGATAGATTTAGTTTTACTACTTCCTGAGATTGTGCTGGAATTACTGTGAAGCCTCTGATAATAAAAATCTCCACTCAACCACCCTCTGCTCCCCCCAAACTTCAGAGCTTTGGAAATTGTGTGTGTGCTTGTTAGTTCTTTTTTTCTGGGGAGAAACAACTTGGATTTCCCTTACCAGAAAGATTAACTGTACGTGCACTTTTTTACATATTGACTTCCCTTCTTCTCTTTCAACTTAATCAGTTGCAGCTTTAACAATTTAGTTTTTCTGCAGTGACTTAATCACAGTGCTCACCACATTTTCTCCCCAAAAACTTTTTCCTTCGAGAAACTCTCTGGTTTGGTTTTTTTTTTTTTTTGTTTGTTTTTTTTTGTGCTCATTAACTTGCTCTACATATCAAGTCAAAAGACCACATTGAGACAGAAGAGTAGGGAAACATGAAATATCTGAAGGCAAATTTACCCATCAGGAAGAATATCAGATGGCATTTATATGATGGTTGAAGATGATACTGGAATTTTATGTAAATTCTTCTTTTCTGCTTTGAACATTTTTGTGGTGTTTTCCAAAATGTGGGCAAGGCACTTTCAGTATTCAAGGATATTAAACCAGTTGAAAAATTAAGACAGAGATACTAATTTTTCAAACAAACACCCTCCTCCCCACCCTGCAGTGCACACTGAGAATGCTGTCAAGAGTAATAAACAATACTTAATTGTTTTATAGACATTTCAAGTGTAAGGAGGACTCCTGGCCAGTCAACACAATGAACTTTCATCCTACAAGAACGTAAAGTGGGAATTGAAACCACAAAAACCTATGTTTGAATAATGTTAACGGCCTGACAACCATAAATTTCATTGATGTTGTGGGTTTAAGATTGAAACTCTCATTAATGCATCCTGCTGTGTTACAGTATTGCAGAGGTATTCCAACAGGCAGCATTGCATTCCAGATGTTCAAATACCTGGGCACCAGAGGGGGGGAGTTATGACCAGATTTCTCCCTCCCCTTCAAGTTCCTTGTCTGAAAATCTCACTCTCAAATAGCTTGTTTATAGAATATTATAAAAGCAACACACACACACAAATCCTTTCAATTTTTAGTCAAATTGAGCTGAGTTACTCAAGGCTTTCTTTGCCCTGGTCTTCACCAACAAGGTCTTCCAGGCCTTTCCACACATAGACAGGGTTCAGGGAGAAGAGGAAACACCAACAGCAGGAAAGGACCGATCCCATAAATCTCCTTTCAAGGGAAACCTTGACTCATTCAAGTCCATGAGAGCAAATGGGATGGATCTGGGAGTGCTGGCTGAGGGCACATCAAGCTCTTCCATCACCAGGGTCATGGACATCAGGGGAAGTCCCACATGAATGGAGAAGGGGAAACATCTTCAAGACGTTCTTTCACAGCACCCTCGTATCCCAGTCCAGCCATTGTGGTCCAGATGGATGAACCACCAGATGAGCAAAGAGTGTTTGGATTCTGGGATTGAAAAGCAATGGTTTGTGCTCCACCTCTAGGCTGGAGACAACTGCAGTTCCTCAGGGGTTTACCCTAAGGCTGGTCCTATCTAATGTCTTAATTAGGATAAAAAGGAAATAAAGACAAAAGGAAATGAGGAAATACAGGAGGAAATGGCATGAACTTCAATCAAATTTGTGAATAACATTGAACTATGAGGATAACTAGACACTGGAAGAGGATGCCCAGAGAGGTTGTGGAGGTTCTAAAGATCTGACTGGAAAAAGCCCTGAGCAAGTTGGTTTGAGTTAATTGTTGACCCCGCTTAAAAAGAAGGAGGTTGGTCTAGAGACCTCCAGGGATCCTTTCCAATCTGAGTGATCCTTTAATTCCAGAAAATGTACAGAAACTTGTTATCTCTGGTGTTTCCAGTAGTCATTTAGGTTTGGTTGAAACCAGTCAGAACCAGCCACTAACTACTAATTACTAAAATAGCAATTTAGCCCCAAGGCTGTTCACTGGAATCCCATACCCCAGGCAGGATCCTGAAGTCATTTTCACACTCTCTTACTAGCCTAAATATTTAAATTTATTCATCTTCCACTTTCCATGAAGCATTTTATACATGCCCAGGTGCAACCTGAAGGCTCCCAGAAGATTGACCCCCCCAGGTGAGACAAGTAGAACACCTAAACTGTTAATCCCACTGAGTTTTATTTCAATGATAGGAATCTCCCCATTCCACACTTAAAACCGTGCCTAAATCCAGCAGGAAAAATATATGCCAGAACACACTGTGCCATGAATGCACTCTTCTGTTCCATTGCAAAAATTCTGAGCTTCTTTGCACTTTCTAGTGGGGTCCCCTATAGAAATGTTAGTACAGAAAGGGCCATTTAGTGTCAAATTCTCCTTGAACTCCTTGGATATGCCAAAGTCCTGCATCAGTGAGAAAAAAGCATTAAGGGATTACAATGTCCCAGCCATGGGGAAAAGTAAAAAATTACAAAAAAAAATAGTAAAAATAAGGAGTGGAACCTTGGACACCTGGTTTCTTGTACCTTCCCTTCAAGAAATCCTACAAAAAGAAGATTGTCCTGTACTAGACACGACATTCTCAGCAAGGAATTACAGATGAGCAACTTCTAGGTGGTTAAATCTCCGG